CGTGCCTCCTCACCGGTTCCATAGGGAGAGGACGGCCCACACGGCCAGGTCTGCAAGGAGCCTCCGCGTCTCTGCAGGCTGGAAGGCGAGCCTGTCTAGGCGTGCTCCACAGGGCTGAGCCAGAGCCCAGAGCCGAGGGGCACTCCCAGGACCTGGTCCTCGTCGCCTCCCTGTACCCTGGCCCCCACTAGAGCTGTGCCCACAGGAGCCTGCTGAGTTGGAGCTCGGGCACGGGACCCCTGGGCCAAGCAGGCTCTGTGCTGGGCGCTTGAGCGGCGTCTGTGCTAACCTGGGAAGGCTGGGCTATCGCCCACTTTACACAGGAGACTGAGGCTGGTGGAGGGGTTTGCCCACGGTCACCAGACAGCAATGATGGGGGTGCTGGGGGCCGCCCAGGCCAGAAGCTCTGGGGCAGAAGTGAGGGGCAGCACTCCTGTGACAATCCCACTTGGACAGCGAAGGCTCTCGGCCCCTCCCGTCTCCGGTGCCCCAAGCTGGGGCTGGAATGAGCACTGACCAGGTGTCCTGGGGGCCGAGGGCTCCTTTCACAGGCCTTCCTCAGCTCCCAGAGGTCTGCTACCTGTAAGCCCGGAGTACCCCCCTCAAAGCGCAGAGGTGGTTGTGCCGGCCTGCCCCCCCGCCCACCCAAATGCAGCTGAGTTCTGCGACAGCTGACGTTTATTTTTGCATTAGCAGAAGCGGGTGGGAATTAGCACCTGCCTGACCCGCCATGGCAGCCAGACGCTGCCACCTGCTGCTTGGGCAGGGACTCTTCTGCAGGGGGTGGGGGTGAGGCCTCTGCTGACCCTTCCTCTGGGCCATCCAGACGCAGGCCTTGGCCTGTGCTGTTTCCAGGCTCCCCACCTCACCTGAGCTTCAGCTAACGCCCACGGAGTGGGGGGGGGTGTTGGTCCTCCTGGCCATTGCCCCTCCAAGGCACCTCCTGCAGTCCCCGCCCAGCCTCGCTCCCGGGCACACACCTGCCTGAGACCTTCCGGGCTGGTCTGCCTGGGTGCCCGCCCTCCCAGGGCACCTCCCGCAGTCCCCGCCCAGCCTCGCTCCCGGGCACACCCCTGGTCGGGCCTGACAGCAGCCTGGACTGGCACAGAAGGGTCGGCTCACGCAGACGTGGCTCGGCCAGGGGTGTGCCTGCCCAGGCCTCGGCCGCCTCTGGAATACTGTCTGCTGACTCCGGACCCTGGCGTGGCCCTCGGACAGGCGAGACTGGGCAGCGTGGCTACAGGCCGCCAGGCCCATGTGCTCCTGACAACGTGCGTGTGCCCACACTGCTCACCGAGTTGCCGATGGCGGTCCCGCAGGTCCCGAGGGTCGGGGTGGCGGTGGGGGTCCCGGAAGTGCGGGCCCAAGGTGACGCCCTCCAGGTGGTGATGGGCTGGGGGTGTGGGCAGGGGCCCACGGCCGGGGCTCAGGGTGCGTGGCCGTTTGCTGGGGTGCTCGGGGTGCAGTGGGTTACGGTCTGACCCATTCTCTTTGGTCCTGGCCCGGAGGGGAGCAGTGGTTATGGATCGCAGGCCACGCACACAGGTTCGGGCAGTGGGGAGGAGGAACAGGGACTGAGCCAGGCCCGGGCTGCATAGCACCCTGCTCTTCCCTCCTCCTTGGGGCTAAGGTCGGGCTCCTCGGCCCAGCAGTCAGGAAGCCTGACCCTGCCGAGGGGCCAGAGGGAGGGACACGGGGCCTCCGGACACCGCTGCCACAGCAGCAGGGCCTGGGCCCGATCTGCAGAGCGTGAGCTTGGGCCATGGGCCATGGGCTCCATGACGCCTGGGTCTGCAGGAGCTCAGAGGGGACGGCCAGGCAGACGCCTCCCCCCTTTTCCCTGTCCTGCCGGGGCTCCTGGGGTGGCCATGTCCATGCCCCCCAGGGCCAGCCAGCCCGCCACCCGCCCGCCTGTCGGCCACCACCTGTCAGGGGTGCTCCTCTTGCCGCTGTCCTTGACCTCCAGCAGGAGCTCGGCGCAGTCGGCCGGGGCGGGGGGGCCGCCCAGCAACAGCCGCTCGTGCTGGGCCAGGTACTGGGCGGGTGTCTGCTTGGCCAGGCGGGCACAGAGCTGCAGCTCCCGCTGCAGGAGGGGCAGGTTGGCCTGTGGGGGACAGGGCTTAGACTTGCTGCCCAGAGCCAGGGTCAGGGTGCACTGTGGCTCAGCCCAGGCAGATCTGGGCAGGGTGGCCGATGCAGGCTCAAGTCCCAGCCTGGCCTCTGGTCTCTAGTCTCAGCTTCCCTGGCTATACCCTGGGAGTGGCTTGTTGTGGGCACCGTGGAGGGAGGGCAGGGCAGGGCAGCACCTCCCCGAGCTCACTGCAGTTCGCCTGCCCAGGCCCGCCCACGTCACCAGGCTTCCCTCCCAGGTGCCGTCTGGGAAGGTGAGTGGGGGCCACGGCAAGGAGGCCTGAAGGCGCTCCCACTGCACCACCTGGGCAGGCGCCCACGCCCACGTGTGGAGACGGACACGGCTCAGAGAGGGGAAGCGACCAGCCGGGGTGCACAGCAGCCTCAGATGGGGGCTGGGGCAGATGGTGCGCCTTTGCAGGCCCTACCCCCACTCGCTGCTGTCCCCAGCCACGGGGGTGGGACCCCACAGCAGCTGCAGTGTCTGTCGCATGTAGCTCCTGGACTCTCACGGCCACCGGGGGGATATTAGGACTTGGCCGGCATGTGGGTGCACACCGCCTCCAGGGCCCCGTGTGTGACGCTGTGTGGACCGCCTCCGACTTGCATTGCTGGGCTGCAGTCGGGGCTCCTGTGCCCCACAAAGCCCTCCGAGCTGCCATGGGAGGGGACAGATAAGCCCAGGACGCTGGCCTGGACGAGGGCCCAGCACGGGTCGCCTGGGAGTGCCAGCTGGTCTCCGCCTTCGAAGATAAACGAGCCCGACTTTCTCCCGTGTCTCAGAGCTGCCCAGCAGCCTCTCGAGCCGTGGCCCACATGTGCCCATGGTGCCCAGCAGCCCTCACCCTCCCCAGCCCCGACACAGGGCTTCTGGGAGGTTTGCCCCTCACACATCAGTCCAATTCCACAGCGGCTGGCTGCCCTCCCCCCCTCCGGGATGCCCACTCTGGGAGACTCACAGCGGGCGAGGCTGCGCGTGGAGCGAGCGAGGGCACTGGGCCGGCAGCAGCCGGGCGGGCGCTGCGTCGGAGCACTGGGTCTGGCCCCGGCCAGTCAGCCCTGAACCTAGGGCACCATCTGGGGGGCCCTGGCACCGGGGGGCAGGTTACCTTCAGGAAGGGGATGACAAATGGACGCAGTGGGAAGTTGGTGGCCTCCTGGAGCTTGGAGTGGAACTCTTCAATGGTCAGCGTGGAGTTCTGGGGGAAAGCCACTGGTCACCGACGGCCTGGGGCGGCCCCTCCACAACCGGGGGCAGGGCGGGGCCGTGGTCGCGCACACAGCCTGCGCCGGCCACACCAACTCACCAGGAGCCCCAGCACCAGTGCACGCACGCGCTCCCCGATCTCCGGCGAGATGTCCCCTCCGAACTGCTGCAGGGTGGTGAGGAAGAGCTTGA